TTTGAGTCCAAGGCTCCTCAGAATTTCCGGCTGTATTGCGGGTCAGAAATATGAGTCAAGGGCTCCGGTTAGGATTCCCAAAGAAAAACATCTTCGTCGGTGTGAGCTACAGCGAGGTATGTGGCGCTCTAAAGTCTTAGGCACTCATTTCGAAGTAAGGACTAGAGATTTAGGTAACCGCGGTCGCCCATTGAAGCCATTGATTGACCTCCATAGATTACGTTGGTTGGAGCATGTATTACGCCAAGCGTGCGCAATGTTTGCCGAGGCAGGTAATGGGTGGAAAAAGGTCAAGGGCAGTCCTAACCAGGAGACTGAGTCCAATAGGTCCCGTTAGGCTCCCTGGCTGGAGACCTTGGGATGATGCTCACCGATGGTCAGAGACACTGGGTGTCGCAAACAGTGGCGCTCATACATCTACTCATTATTCTTGTAACATCGGTCTGTATAAATTCGCTACCTTCCGCTTAAATTTGCTCGCAACATTCCAACCTTCCTTCTCTTTTTATCCAAATGAACAACCTAAAGACAGCAAACTAAACCGAAAGTGCATGGTTAATGGTTGTTAGAAATGAGCTGAACTGTACACGACTGCAGTATTCAAGTATCGTTTGGACTTGAGTTTTGTATGGAAAGAGAAGGTGTAGAAATAAAAGGGGACTAACATGATTACTCCAGCCTGGTAAACAAACGGTCGCTCTGATAATATAAACCAACAACAATCTCACGTGTCCCGCCTACCGTTACAAGAGTGTTTCTCGCCTGATTGATGCTCATAAGCACTATCGAACGGAAATAGAAAAATAGTCCATCTAATGTAAAATACGTAAATAGATAATTCTCAGTCATCTCATGGCCCCTATATAACCAACGGATATAGGGGGATATTGCTGTTTTGGAAGCGAAATTCAGTGAAAGACAAAACACACAAACAGACAGACTGGGGTATGACCAAGAATATATAGGTTATGGGTGTTTCAGTGGTGAAGCCGCATAACCCACGCTCCATCTGGATTCGACAAATGTGATGCAGCAATTCTATGGCATATTTTCGGGTAATGAACTGCACACAGGGCGAACAGCATAGTCACGTAGAGCTGTAATTCTGTGATGGAAACCGGTAGCCTAATACTTAGAGTGGTGGATTACATAAGGCCCCCACTGGATTAGGCGTGTTATTCAGCCGGAAAACAGCAAACCTGTCTAAAAATATGTAAAACCGCATCTTACACCAATCAGGATAAAAATGTAGCCGTGCACATAGGAAACTGTCTACCAGAACGCTCATTAAAATTTCTGGTCAACATTGAAGTAACTGGAAATGCAAGGGGACCCATAAACGTCAACGGCGACACCATTACGCGGTTCTTGCCTGTAACACTCGACGGCAACGGCCTTTTGTTTTCGTGATTGATTGATTGATTTTTTCGTGGGCAGGAGCTTCCAACAGACTTTGAGCTGCTTCTTGTTCCAATTGCTTTGCTTGGTACCACTCAAGGACAAAATAAGCGAACGGGTTAAGGACGACCAACTGAATTGGGGCAAACAGATAGATGTAGCTGGCCAGGTCCGGATATAGTGCTTTGACTGAAAGGAATAGGATTGAATAAAACAATTCATCCACCAGGGCTACGAATAGTGCATGTCATGTTACTTTGAACACCAACAGTCAAGCATTGAGGACACATGGTGGAAACGAACTTAGACCAGAAATGGGGTGTAGATATGTGAGCGATCGAGAAAAAAATGATGAGATTAAGGAGTATCCTCGTCAAACAGTAGACCGCAGTGCTCAGCTCTAGCCTGTAGAGTAAAGAATATGTTCGAGTCACTTATTATTATAACCAGTCTTCGGTCAGCTGAAAAGCATTACTCTAGAAATTCTCACATCCCCGTTTCAAAATTCTGTATTTTCCTATCTTTCATATAAAGTTTATTTCTGTTGTCCTCACCCTAGGAAGAAAAGCATCAATATGTTCTGCAATCGTTGAGTACCTTAGTTCATGATTATTCGACCGCAAAGATGAAAACAATGATTAGTGGCACAGGTGTCCTCGTACTCATGGTCTTTCAGTTGTTCTAAACTTCACTGCAATGAAAAGTTTAATTTATCGCTCTAGAACAACTCAATCGAAATACAATTGTGTGATAAAAGTTTGAAGGAGTAAAACAGACACAAAGACCTACTGTTCGCTCATGATCCAAATACAAACAGCGGTTAGCCAGTTACACTTACGGACAGGGTATCCAAGGGCAACGTCGTTTGACTGGGAGACAAACATGGACAAAATGGCGGCTAAACCGAGCTGAGTCGATCGGGTCAAGAGTACGGTAATCACAAACGACAACACGAAAGCAATCAGCTTGCTGACAGATACGGCGGAAACAAGATACCAGCAAACTCCGCTGAAATCGATCGATACCATAACCTTGAAGGTGAGCAACGAAAAAATACAAGTTACCGAAGTAGAGAATTAACACTATATATAAATATTTCATTTATATATACATTTCATTTACGTTTGACAACGAGTCCTAGTTTGGATCGAAACGTTACAATAAACATTTTACAACTCAGTGTACGCCTCCATTCTCTCTTGAAATATATATATATATTTACCACCGGCTTGAAAACAAGTATGGTGCCAACGCAACAACAATGACAGTGAAAGGGGATAGGTGGATTAGGATACAGAACATGGTGAAAAGTGGGTGAGACAGTTAAACATGGAAAATACAAGATAACAGAATTTTTTGTGTGTTTCACCGTACACCTTTTGCAATTTTTTGGTTGTTTGATGTCTCGTTCTTCTTAATGAGCACGGGATTTCGATAGACAGATCGTACAGCATTCGCGCCACCGACTTCTATTCTGCGCCATATCTATGTCTATGACGAAATTGAACAGGAATGGCGAAACAGGGCACCCTTGACGAACACCGCTGCTAGTTACAAACAACCTACTCAGCCCGCCGTAGACCCTTACGCTACCAGAAGTAGACCGGGAGAGTGAATTCATTACGTCCACATACTGCTGCGGCATTCCTGTGTGAGGGATCGAACGCATAAGGGATTCACGATCAACTGAATCCAAGGCTCCTTTTAGATCAAGGAACACGACAACCGTTGATCGACGTTGCGTATGGCGTAGATCGAGCACTTGACGCACAGTGAAGATTTGATGGAGACAACCGCGATCTGGTGGAAATCCTGCTTGTTGTTCGCGGATATCTGTCGCCCTAAACGGTGTCAGACCTCGATTGGGACCAAACTTATTCCACGGTGGTTTGCGCAATCGTTGCGAGATCCCTTCTCAAATATTGGAACAATCAGTTATTCGCTCAAAGATGATGGAATGCGCTCGTGTGACCATATGTTGCGCATTAAATCCGTACTGGAGTCTGCCAGTGAAAAGAGTGGGAGGAAGCCCGTCTGGTCCTAATGCTTTTCCTTTCTTCAGGGCTTGGATGCAGAAACGAACTTCTGCTGCAGTAGGTTTACATGACACGGATCACGGAGCCTCAACTACACCAAAGGAGATAGCCTGGGTGGCGCCTGACCAGCTGAACTGTTCGTTGGAGTACTCCGCCCACCGGCCAAACTTTTGTTCCCTATTGTGAATAGCCTGCTCACTATTGTCGCAGATTGTTTCACTAACTGTGGTTCGCCGACCTTCAAAGTGCAAGGTGTTATTGCAAGATTGGCGGGACCCCGTTAATGCAGTTTCGCTGGGTAGTCGAAAGCTTTGTTTACCTCGAGAGTTGTATAACGGCTGGGGGAGGTGTGTGCGAGATCTCTCAAACAACGATCAAAACTAGATTAGCGTTTGCTGATTTGTGGCATCTCTAGTTCCGGCATGACACATCCCTTTCACTGAAAGGGTCTATGTGTTGCTCAACTGTGCGTGCCGTCTTGCTCTAAGCCTCGAAATCCGCCTCTTCGAGTAGATCGTGTACAAACACTGTCCGTCGTGGACTGCCGTTGTCTGCGCAACATCCCCGTGTATGGTGGCAGAATCGTGTGAATAACGATGAGGGTCGACAAAGTGTGTTCAGATCACACAGAGTACCATTGAGCAAGATAATTTCACTGCATCGTCTCATTCCGCTGAGGAACGTCCTACGAATGTACGTCTGCCATAACGTGCACAAATTGTAGACAGCAGTACCGACTGGAAGAAATAGTGAGGCGAGCAGGCTATGACGTGGCGCAGAGATTCAAACCGCGGCCGTGTACACCCCTTAAAGGACAGTCGAATGCCATGGCGGCGCCACAGGTGTCGCTATTCGTAATGTGATCCGCTCCC